GTTCCGTTTTCTCCTACACACCATACGCAATCATCTTCAACGTTTTTAGATTTATGTCTGATTGACAATGCTGATAAACTTGTTACCTTTAGTCAGCGTGATGTATGCTTTTTGTCCTCTCATGATTTAATTGAAATTGAGTACAATATCATTATTGAAAAGATAAAAATGAGATCCATCACTATTAGAGATTTTAACTCTTTTGATGAAAATAAATTTTTAAATGATTTTTCCAGTCATGACTGGAATCAGCTTCTGAATACTGGTGATATTGATCAAAAGGTCCAACTATTTAATCAATACCTTTTGGCTAGTCTTGATGGAAATGCGCCATTAAAAACCATACATCCAAAACATATGCCTGCGCCTTGGCTGACTACTGAAATTAAAACGCAAATGTCAGAGCGTGACAGAGCACGTAGAAGATGGAGGGGATGTAAGAGTGAAGCTAATTATGCGCTGTATAAAGCGTTAAGAAATAGAGTTCAAATCATTGTACGTAGAACTAAGGAAGAATATCACCTGGCTACTTTCTCTAGACTGAAGGATCCAAACTCTATTTGGAAAGAGCTTAGNAGGCTCGGCCTCGTAAATACAAAATCGTCCAAATTTACACTTCCTTTCTCTACAAATGAACTGAATAGCTTCTTTTCTACTCGCTTGCCATCATCTTCTATTGTGGACGAGACTTATGACATACTTGANGAGGAATCTTATTATGACGACGATAAGTTGTATTGGAGAAATATTGATGTTCTGGATGTGATTAATGCTTTGGATAGGAACAAATCCAATGCTGTTGGTATAGATGGCATATCTCCGAAATTGATTTTTACAGCTCCGCCTTGTATTCTTCCTATTATCGTGCATTTATTTAATTTTAGCCTTAATCAAGGCGTTTTTCCAACTGTTTGGAAATCTGCAATCATCTGTCCGGTGCCTAAAACCAGGAACCCGTCTGAATTGCAACATTTTCGACCTATCTCTATTTTATGTGCTATTTCTAAGGCGCTTGAAAGTATAGTGGTGACTCAGATGACGGAATTCTTGGAGAAGATAAATGGACTGGACCCATTTCAAATTGCCTACAGACGAGGATATTCTACACAAACTGCCTTGATCAGAGTTATTGATGATATCAGATTAGCTGCTGACAAAAGAGATCACTGTCACAGTGTTCTTTGATTTTTCGAAGGCTTTGACTATGTGAATCATAAACTTTTATTAAAAAAACTCTACAATAAAAATTTTTCTGCTTCCACCCTACGTTGGCTGCATTCGTATCTCGAACATAGAGTGCAGTCTGTGCGTGATCCTGCTACTTACTCTCTTTCTGATGGTCAATTGGTTACAGCTGGCGTTCCTCACGGATCAGTTCTTGGTCCTCTACTTTTTACTCTCTATGTATCTGATTTTGGAAATACTTTAAGGCATAGCAAGTACAGCTACTATGCAGATGACCTTCTCATTTACCAACATTGTACACCTGCCCAGCAAACAATTTCTGTTTTTGACAATTTCGGCTCAGACCTTGGCAACAGAAATTGTTTGCAGAAATGCTACAATACGGAAACATTGCCAAAACTGTTAGCACACAAAAAGAAA